TTAATTAGGATACAAAAACCTTCGTGGCACACATTCAAACCAAAGTAAGAGTCCCATGCGTTTCCTTCTCTCTGACATCTGCAGAAACTCTGAGAACAAGATAGGAGCTGTGTCTCCACGCTGACAGACATCTTTAGTACTGTAAAGGAGCAGAGATCAGGACACAAAAGCATCTCGGTTTCATAGCTGGACAGACAACCAACTGTCTCCTTATGCCACTTCCTTCTTACCCCCATATTGTGCTGATGGTGTCTTTGTTTATTAATACTGTTGCCATGGTTATATATTTGTGTAATGCCATAAATGCATAGTGTACAGGTTGCATGTTCTCTCTTATGCAGAATATTGTAATAATGAAGCTAAAGATAAAAAGTGACTACCACTGGCTTGGACTGTCTAAGGAGAAAGGCAGATGGTTATGGATGACTGGTGAGGAGTTCCCAACAGAGAAGTACGCTTTCTTTTTATTATTGAGGGGAACCCCTCCTCCCTCCCCCGCCCCAGTTAAAAACAACAACCCAAACCCCAGATTGCGCTGTTTTGGACAGGGTCAGTGCTTATTTCACTAGTCATGGCCTGAACTTGCGCTGGCTAAAAAAGGCAGGAGACAGTGCTAATATTGTGTCTTCCTTGTTATGGCAGTAAGATTCTGTCAATGAGAAAGGTGTTGCAGCAGCAACTACCAGTAAGTACTATGTAAAGTTGTTCTAATCATCAGTTTGTAAGTGCACCAGATTTTCATTTCATTTCATTTCATTGTGTGTTTGCTTTTAAAATAAGCATTGGTGGTTCTTATTACATGCGCTTTAAATTACTGCAAAATTATTTGGTTAGCTTTACACAAAAATATTTATTCATTCATTCGTACTTTTATTAATCTAATTTAGCAGTATAATGGGTCTCCACTTTCCCAAGTTAAAGTAAAGCTAAACTATATTTCCATATGCATTATTATAGAATATGTTCTTCTAAGTACTACAGAAATAATTGTATTTAAAAGTAGTAATGGACTTGTAAGGGACCAGGTTTTGTTCTTCATTTCTTAGGGCTTGTTTACATGGGGAAATAGTACAGGGTAATTATTTCATGGTAGCTATTCTGCATTGTGGGACATAGTTAAAGTTGCACCCTGCTGTTTCTAGATCTTTCAAGTAGTTAACTAAAAATCATTATTACTACAGTATACTCACACCCTGTCTTGTTTTTTGCTTGTTTTCCTTGCTTATTTGTTTATAGTGCCCGGGAACTAGACCCATAACTCTCATTTGATGATCCTTGTGCTACAACCAGAATTGAGGATTTTAATCTTCTTTAGCATTCAATTAAGTGTTGCTAATAACTATACTATTGTCATGAGTCTCATGATAGCTGGTGTTTTTTTCAAAGCCCTAACTTCTGGAGTCATATGAATGCATGATTATCTAAACCATTATGTTCCTAAAAATTAAGTTTGTAACCATCTTGGTTATAGACCAATGCTTGAAATAGAAACTGAGCAAACCCTGTGCGCCCCTGTAACAGAAGCACAGAGACTCCTGTTATTTTAAGAGGAAACTAGAGCAGGCTGAGCTGGATCAGAGATGGCTGGCAGCTTGGAAGCAAGCTAGTTGCTAATGACCTTGCTGCCAACAAACAGACTGATAGATCTGGCTAGAGGTCCACCCTGGGAAGGTAACACACAGAGAGGGGAAACAGAGCAGCAAACTACACTAAGGCAGACAGGGAGACAGCCCGGGAGCAAAAGGCTGCAGGCTGTTAAGATAAATCCTCCTAGGGCAGAGCAGGAGGGTCTTCAGGTCCAGGAAGGGAACACTTGTGAGTATCTGCAGAACCCAGATGGACAGGGCTTAGGAGGGACACAAGGCCAGGGCATGGGAACTCTGGCCCTGCAACCTGAAAAGGTAAGAATGCCTGAGCAGGAAGGAAGGGGACTGCCTGGTGGACTTAAGATGCCATGAGCTCTGCAATACTTTGCAGGCAAGTGGTACTCAGTATGGAGATGGAGCCTAGTGGTCCCTCCAGGGAGCTTACGTTATATTGAAACCTGGGGCAGGGGCAGGTGTTGTGACAGCCAGAGGGCTTTCTGATTGAATTGTGGTTTATAATAGTGGTTTGGATGGGACTAGGTCCCATTAGTGCCCAAGGGGCACTTGATTGCCTTGAGGTGCAGACAGGATGCAGGGAGCCCAGTGTTGCCCGAGAGGGGTGCAGAGCTTGAGACCAAGGGGCCCAGAGCCCAAGGAGAGAGGAGATTTGAAGGCCTGAGAGGTAAATGGGGACAGGGAGCCCTGGGTCCAAGTGGGGCAGAAATAAAAGCCCTGGAGGGCCAAACAAGAGGCTGGAGCCCAGAAGCCAGATTTGAAACAGTGGGCCTTGGCTAAGGGACTGGCTAGAGTAGAGGGGTGGAAGCTGGGAAGGCTGAAGCCCCAAGTGAGTAAAGGCCTGAAGTGGCCTGGTGACTTTGGGGTCGAGTGTCCTGCTAGATGTGTGACCTATGCAAGGGATAGGCATGGTGTGAAAGGGATGGTGGGACCTATATACTAAACCCTTAAGATGCAGAGTAATGAGACCATATCTCAGGAGTGGATGAGATCTCATTCAGCGATCCCAAGGGCAGCCTCCCTTTCCTAAGTACTTGTTCACATCAAGGCGTGGCAGATGAAAAGGGAAGAGTTCTTAAGGGACCGAAGATGTAACAGGAGTAGGGTGATAACCAGGGGGTTGCACAGCCAGCCCTGGGGTCCGTCACAGCCCCCCCCGATCAGGAAAATGAAACTTTTGAAAATGTGTTGTTTTTTTAAAATTATTTTTAATCACTTGCTATTATGTAGACCTTGACTTGTGACTTTTGAATGCTTGTGTTTGGCAATATTGAATTAATCGCAGTATTAATGATTATGTAAATACCATATTACTCACCTGTCATTATCATTCTCTGTCATTGCCATTGTCATTAACCTGCAGAATGGAATGACAAAAAAGGATACCTTATTACAGCTGCAGAAGTGAGTCCAAGCTTTGCTTGAGACTCAGTGCCTCTCCTCCCCACCCCTGACCCAGCCATCAACACACACCCCATCAAAACCCCTGTGAACAGCACCTGGCCCTTCAAGTTGGAATGGCAGAGATGACCACATCTTGCTGACCCCATCTCTTCCTTGTGTACTTTCATCTGCAGCAAGATGCCAGCTTTCTTCTTTATCATTATGTAAATCTATGCCCCTGAGAAATATCTCAGTCGCACAGCCATCCCAAAAGAGCTTTTCCCAAACCAAGGGAATACTTGTGCTTCTTTGAGAAAGGGCACTACTGCAGCCCTGGTGTTACAGTTCTGTGCTTTCCTCCCTTAGGCATCATATTGAAGGGAGCAAGAGCAGCAACCTTGGCTGTGGTATGCTAACAGAAAAGGGCTTTCAGGCTGAGGTGTGCACCAACATCAACAAATACATCTGTGAGAAAAATGCTACTGAATTTCCAGCCATGTCTGAACAACCACAGGAATGATGTTCCCCTGGTATCCCTGCTACCCCCAAGATGCAGGCCTGACTGGTTCAGAGTCCAGGATTGAAATGCAAAAAAAATACAGCCTGGTCTGCCTGTGACATTAGCTGTTCATTTCTGCTCCTGTGCTATGTGCAATGCCCAATGAACACAGACCACAACTAGCAGTGCTACTGATGCATGTTATAGTGAGAAGGAAGCCTGTTCACAGTCAGACTGACAGTTTGTCTTACCCTGCAATTGCACAGGGTCTTATTCTAGACCTGCTGACAGCTACTGTGTCTTTTAATAGAGCACAAGCTTGGAAATCTGTGTGTGTGTGACTTGAGTGCACCACTCTATATACAGTAGTCTAGATCTTCAGCTAAAGAAAGAGTATGCATATCTGGATTCCCTGGTATTGTGGTTTTAAGCAACATAAAAAACCTGTAATAATATAATTAAAATAATGTGCAAATTATACACTTCTCTGTCTCAGTCAAGACTGCTCAAGGGGCATCATTTCAAAGTTCACCACCACAAACCAGTTGGAAATGTGAGCCTGCCATTGCCAATTAAAATAGGTTTATG